ATAGATGACAAAGATTCCATGGAAAAGGTAGGATCCGACATCATCCTTGCAGGTCAAACTGTCCATAATGAAGGACATAGACACCAGTCCTTGGAATCAGGAATCTCTCATTCTTTCCAGCTCGATCCCCAGGTCTTAACCTCCTTGTCTCTGTTTCCTCTAATATGAAATGAGGAAGTAATAAATGGTCTGCAAGGCTGACTGATTCCCAAGGACAGACAGGGATCATATTACAGAAAAAAAAAAAAAATAGAAGAGCAGAGTGAACCAAAAATTAAAGGTAAACACATGTGAGATGAGGAAAGGTCTAGAAGCAAGACAGTCGGTGTGTTCACAAAAAAAATCTGTAGTTTAGTATGGAATGCAAAGATGAAGAGAATGAGTTATGGAATGTAAAAATGAAGAGAATGAGTTTCATTCAATAAGCAATGAGAGGCTATAATTCAAAGAAACTTGGATGAAAAATAATGGTGAACTGAGCTAGGATAATGACAGACAGCAGTGGAAAGACAAGACAGTTGTAAGATACACTGTGGAAACAGATTTTCCCAAACTTGACGGACTGGAGAGAGAGATAGGAGTTGTGGTCAAGGTAACTTGTGACGTGAGCATCACCTTATAGAAGGTTCATGAGTCAGTTTGATGAAAAAGTCGAAGAAGCAGATACAGATGATTCACAGGATTCTGACAAACAGAGATATGTGCAAAGATTGAGGGGCTATCTTTGTTAAGGGAGATTGCTATTCTACAGATGAGAAAAATTAAGCATAATTGTAATCAAAGACGAAGCAACTAGAAAGAATGGAAATACAGATAAGAAATGAAAACTAATAACAACTAATAGATATAATTGATAGGTATATTATCATTTATTATAATGAAACATTCTAATCTTTAATTTAAATAATAAGAAATAAATCTAGAAAATACACACAGAGAGAAAGAGAGAGAGAAAAGAGAGAAACATGTTTGAAAACAATGATCCTTTCTCCTCATTTCCACTTTGCATATATACCTATACATAAATACATATACATTTTATATTTGTATATAAATGACCTTCTCCTCAATTACACATTTTCAGAGATGATTATAGTAATTGGTCCTGAGCTTCAAGCAAGCAAACGGAATGGCCAGTTTCAAAACAGATTTTCTGGCTTCTAGCCCAGTGCTCTTTCTTCTTACCCAGATAGACTCCCATCTGAACATAGCTTTGTCTGGAAAGTCTGGGCACTTGTAAAGCCATGTGTCACTCAATAATAAATCCACTTTGAAAATTCACCTATCCTTATGATGAGTTTAATTAAGTTTTGCATTTCTAAACTTTTATTTCAATTTTATTTTTCATTTAAAAATAATTACTTAGAGATGTTGTATTTAAGCTGTTTATGTCAATTAATACAAATGTTGTTCTGTATATTTTAGGCAGAAACAATTGAGCCATTGGCAAGGGGCATGAAATTGAGTTCTACATTTTCTGACCTAGTAGCAGTGACGTATTTTTATTAATAGTCTTTCTGGCAAGAATGAGACCTATAGTCAATGGCCAAGGGACATGAGGAAGCAAAATAGCAGGTCGTCCATAAATTTGGTCTTATGCCACAAGCGTATTAAAACCAAAAGGGAATTTGTCCACAAAGACTGATTCTCTTGTTCTACAGTTGAGAAGACTATAGTTGGAAAACATAAAGAGGGTTGCTACAAGTCACAGTTTAGTGGATGTCGGAACCACTACTGGAACCCAACTCTTGGTTAAGGAGTCCATATCTGTTTGTCCTCACCCCTCAGTGCTGCTCTGAAATCGGTGAAGTTTTGTGCTTATAGTCAAACTATGGTTTTGATGCCATTGAAGAATAAACATTTGTTGAGAATGAATAAGGATGTTTCACAAGAAGCTTCAATAATTCATCTGTAAGTATTTTTAAAGTGTCTATGAGGCAATCTTCTCTATTAGAAAATTATGATCCAGTGGAGAAGCATAAGGAAAATGAAATAAACTATATAATGAAAACTATAATTCTCAAAATTTAACTAGATGTGTTTTTAGTTCCAGTCTGATCTCCAGTCCTAGACCTACCATCGTATTTCCACCTAAATATCTTGCTTGAATCACAAATTAATTACATTGCTTCCTTTATTTTAGAAAACAAGTTCTCTAGTGCTTAATGTTAGTCTGTGAGTTTTAGCAATCAATAATTTTAACTTAAGTTGATGTAAGAAAACATTTTGGTGTGACTTTAAAGTAGTAAACAAATTTAAGAATGTATTTTCAGGAATGTTTTGCCCATGGTATGTATTGGAAGCATTATAAGGTTTAAGAAAGTAAGAAGTGAAAAGCTCAAATTTTGTAAAAAAAGAAAAAATCACATTTGCTAACTTATTCGTCATGATACTGAGTGATATTGAGAATGCTGACTGTAAAATAATAATTCTTGCTATTTTAAGCGTTCATATCTTTTAACACTGAGCTATGACCCTAAACAGAGATGATCTTCATCAATAATATTTGCTCTCAAATGAAAATTTGACATCACTGTTTTATCAATGATCATCAATGCAAAATATATTTAGGCAAATGATAGTCTGTGTTACCTTCCATTTGATTTACAAAACAAATAACTAAGACATTTACCAAAAAATAGTAATGATCTCTAAAGAATCATTCTATCACTTCAATCAAGGCAGACTAAATTAAAAAGTCAGAAAGATTATAGTTTATTGATTTCCTTAGGCTATGTAAAAATAAATGTGGTCCTGTATTTTTCTTACCATGAAACAAAATATTGAACTCTGCCCTTGAGGCACACTACCATACTTCACATGCTGATCTTATCATTGCTTGCAAGTCAAACAGAGCTGGACTTTAAAAGGAAGAAAGGAAAACCCTGGAGCCACTAAGAAGCATCAAGGGTCAAGCTGTTAGTCTGGTTCTGCTCAGAATTTACCCGGGGTCACAATGCCTGGGTAAGGGCCACTTTGCTTCCAGACGACATTTTTCCATACAAACACACCACCAGAATTTGAAATATACTATAAAAACAGCCGTGTTCTGAAATTGGTTTTCTAGTTTAATTGGCATCTTATTTGTTCTAATTTGGAACAGGGAATAGCAGAATTTCCCCCCCATGTTTCCGTAATTTGAATTCTGTATGCAATAATAAATAATCACAATAAATTATAAAATAATAAGGACAAAGCAAACAGGAAATTGGTAAAGAGTTATATGGCGGATTTTCTGATGTATTTAAAGTAAAGGCCACATCCCTTCTATGTTCCTGGATGCTCATTTTGTAATAAATTGTGAAACGTATCCATCAATTTCTAAGTAGTAGTTAAAAGTCCCTCCAACAATGCAGAGCACACAGAATAATCTTAATTAATATTTAATTAACTAAATGTTACCTGTTTGCTTGCTTGCACATTTGCTTGGATGAGTGACTCCTTTAAATTGATCTCTTGCTTCTTTTTGAAAGATTTCAGAACTTCCTGTCTTTGACTCCTGGAGACAGACACCACTCAGTAGGTTTCATGGAGAGGAATCTGGCATCTCCCAGCCATACTTACGTACAGAGTTTGTGCTGCAGCCTGGAAAATAGCTGCAACTATGTCAAGCAAGGATCAAAATCCTGATCTGAAGGAGCTCAAGCTGAAAACACAAAGGGTTAAAAGGATAGGCATTTCTTACAGAAATTACTCCCATAGGCACCTTCTAGCTTCAATTTAGACTGAAAAGTAAAAAGGCATTGACAGTTTCTTATATTTCTCTCTTTTCCAAGTTCAAAATCCCTTGGAGCAGGAAAAGGGCAATTATGACTATTACTCCAATTCTATGCTCCTGTTAGCAATCAGATTTGCATTAGTGGAGAAAAAAATAATACTATCCTAAATAAAACATTCTGACTATGACTGCTGAGGAGCCAATCCGAAAATGGTTAAGTTTAAATTATAAGGAGTCTTTTTTGAGGGGGGAGGGGAGTTGATAGAAAACCTGTTAGAAAGGGAATCTACACACTACTGAAACCAAACAAACACAAGGGGGCAGGAAGAGCTCAAGCTCTGACTTCAAAACCTGCTGGCTGAAATGGCAGCTAAACTATTTTAGTGTGCCCTCCGGATATTTATCAATTTTCGTGGCATGCAAAGAAATGTGATGCTGACAAGTAGGTTTAGTTTGTGCTTGGTCTAATTACTGCGAAGAGAACAGGAACGTCTTTAATGACAGCTACCCTAACAGAGTCGGATTTGGGAAAGCCTGGGGCCACATTCCCTAGAATTTATTCTTTGGTGCAAGACTAGCGATTCTGATCAGACTGCATTTCTCACGCATTCCAAATCCTCTTTTTTCCTTTTACTCTGTGAACCTTGGTTGCAAAGGAGGGGCTTGTTAAAAACTCACCAATCGGAGGACTGTGCCCATTGTAATTTACGAGGAGAAGGCAGCGTGGGGGCGCCCCGAAGGGGGCTGGGCTGGAGTGCAACCTGGTCTAGCTATGGCTTTTAATTCCAGCTGTTCTTTTGCAAATATGCCCCAGAATTTCTTCTCAAACGTTCTGGGTTTCGCTTCAAACTCAAAAAGCATTGCGTCTAACTTTCCCCTGGTTGTGCAAGTTTCCTTGAGAAATGGCCATGCCCTGCGCGGTATTTCACTGAATAGGGCTGAGGAGTGGGGGGTGGCTAAAATGGGTAACCCTTGGTCGCCGGCAGATGAAGTGAATCCAGGAGAGCAGTGTGTTCCGGCTTCTCTGCTGGAGTACCAGATCTATTAATAGCAGCCCAGAGCGAAACGCAAGCAGGGGTGGGCAACTCCGGACCACTTCTCCCCTCACTTCCAAGACAACCTGTTGCGCCTCTATCTCCTCCCCTCCCGGCAGTTTCCCCGCCTCGGCCTCTAAGACCTGATTGGCAGAAATTACTACCCAACCCTCAGCTCCGCGCCTCCTCCCCCGACCAACGATTGGCCTCCTGGGAGGGCTGGAGCAAGGGGGTGCGAGGGGAGGGATTTCCCTCAAAGCCCAGGGTCCCGGGACCTGGAAAGTAGAAGTGGAGGGATTCAATACTCCGCGCGACAGAGTCACGAGCGGCGGAACTGGACGGCCTAGGAAGACTTAGGCTCCTCGGCTGCGGCTCCAGCCCGGACGGCGCCGCGCAACTTTGCCATCCTTCTGGCCCAGCCCCGGCTACAGGAGGACCCCGCAGGCAGCGCGCGGAGTTCCTGGCACTTCCCGGCGGTGTCTCTTGTTGTCTGCCCGGGGACTGACTTCGCATGCTCTCAGGCTGACCTGTCCAAGCCCGAACACCCGGACCATGCACGCAGCCGGGACTCCCGGGTTATCCTCGCACCGGACAGGCAACTCCACCAGCTTACAGCCAGAACCGCCACCGCCGCCCCGGCTGCTGCTGCTGCTGCTGCTGCTTCTCCTGTCACTGGTAAGCCGCGTCCTGGCACAGCCCGCTGCCTTTGGCAGGGCGCTGCTGTCCCCTGGTCTCGCGGGGGCTGCAGGGGTCCCTGCTGAGGAGGCCATAGTGCTGGCGAACCGCGGACTCCGGGTGCCTTTCGGCCGTGAAGTCTGGCTGGATCCCCTGCATGACCTGGTGTTGCAGGTGCAGCCCGGGGACCGCTGCGCGGTTTCGGTACTAGACAACGACGCACTGGCCCAGCGACCGGGCCGCCTGAGTCCCAAGCGCTTCCCGTGCGACTTCGGCCCTGGCGAGGTGCGCTACTCTCACCTGGGCGCGCGCAGCCCGTCTCGGGACCGCGTCCGGCTGCAGCTGCGCTACGACGCGCCCGGAGGGGCGGTAGTGCTACCACTGGTACTGGAGGTGGAGGTGGTCTTCACCCAGCTGGAGGTTGTGACTCGGAACTTGCCTCTGGTAGTGGAAGAACTGCTGGGGACCAGCAATGCCTTGGACGCGCGGAGCCTGGAGTTCGCCTACCAGCCTGAGACAGAGGAGTGCCGCGTAGGCATCCTGTCCGGCTTGGGCGCGCTGCCTCGCTATGGAGAGCTCCTCCACTACCCGCAGGTCCCCGGAGGAGCCAGAGAGGGAGGCGCTCCGGAGCCTCTCCTGATGGACTGCAAAGCTTTCCAGGAACTAGGCGTGCGCTATCGCCACACAGCCGCCAGTCGCTCACCAAACAGGGACTGGATGCCCATGGTGGTGGAGCTGCGTTCACGAGGGGCTCCTGTGGGCAGCCCTGCTTTGAAACGCGAGCACTTCCAGGTTCTGGTGAGGATCCGAGGAGGGGCCGAGAACACGGCACCCAAGCCCAGTTTCGTGGCCATGATGATGATGGAGGTGGATCAGTTTGTACTGACGGCCCTGACCCCAGACATGCTGGCAGCCGAGGATGCTGAGTCTCCCCCTGACCTGTTGATCTTCAACCTTACTTCTCCATTCCAGCCTGGCCAGGGCTACTTGGTGAGCACCGATGATCGCAGCCTGCCCCTTTCCTCCTTCACTCAGAGGGATCTGCGGCTCCTGAAGATTGCCTACCAGCCCCCCTCTGAAGACTCCGACCAGGAGCGTCTCTTTGAACTGGAATTGGAGGTAGTGGATCTAGAAGGAGCAGCTTCAGACCCTTTTGCCTTCATGGTAGTGGTGAAGCCCATGAACACAATGGCTCCGGTGGTCACCCGGAATACTGGTCTTATTCTCTATGAGGGTCAGTCTCGGCCCCTCACAGGCCCTGCAGGCAGTGGTCCACAAAACTTGGTCATCAGCGATGAGGATGACCTAGAAGCAGTGCGGCTAGAGGTGGTGGCTGGGCTCCGGCATGGTCACCTTGTCCTTCTGGGTGCCTCCAGTGGCAGCTCTGCTCCCAAGAGCTTTACAGTGGCTGAGCTGGCAGCTGGCCAGGTGGTCTACCAGCATGATGACAAAGACGGCTCACTTAGCGACAACCTGGTGCTTCGCATGGTGGATGGAGGAGGCAGGCACCAGGTACAGTTTCTGTTCCCCATCACCTTAGTGCCTGTGGATGACCAGCCACCTGTTCTCAATGCCAACACAGGGCTGACACTGGCAGAGGGTGAAACAGTGCCCATCCTGCCCCTTTCCCTGAGTGCAACTGACATGGATTCAGATGATTCTCTGCTGCTTTTTGTGCTGGAGTCACCCTTCTTAACTACGGGACATCTGCTTCTCCGCCAAGCTCACCCTCCCCATGAGAAGCAGGAGCTTCTCAGGGGCCTTTGGAGGAAGGAGGGAGCATTTTATGAGCGAACAGTGACAGAGTGGCAGCAGCAGGACATAACAGAGGGCAGGCTGTTCTATAGACACTCCGGGCCCCATAGTACTGGGCCAGTCACAGACCAGTTCACATTTAGAGTCCAGGATAACCATGACCCTCCTAATCAGTCCGGGCTACAGCGGTTTGTGATACGTATCCATCCTGTAGATCGCCTGCCTCCAGAGCTGGGCAGTGGCTGTCCCCTTCGTATGGTGGTACAGGAATCCCAGCTCACACCACTGAGGAAGAAGTGGCTGCGCTACACTGACCTAGACACAGATGACCGAGAACTGCGTTACACAGTGACTCAGCCCCCCACAGACACAGATGAAAACCACTCACCAGCCCCACTGGGTACCTTGGTCCTGACTGACAACCCCTCAGTCGTGGTGACCCATTTTACCCAAGCCCAGATCAATCATCATAAAATTGCTTACAGACCCCCAGGTCAAGAATTAGGTGTGGCTACTCGAGTGGCCCAGTTCCAGTTCCAGGTGGAAGACCGAGCTGGGAATGTGGCTCCAGGCACCTTTACTCTTTACTTGCAGCCCGTGGACAACCAGCCACCTGAGATCCTCAACACCGGCTTCACTATTCAAGAGAAGGGTCACCACATCCTGAGTGAGACAGAGTTGCACGTGAATGATGTAGACACTGACGTTGCCCATATCTCTTTCACCCTCACGCAGGCACCCAAACACGGCCACATGAGAGTGTCTGGACAGATCCTGCATGTAGGAGGTCTCTTCCACTTAGAGGACATAAAACAGGGCCGAGTTTCCTATGCTCATAATGGGGACAAGTCCCTGACTGATAGCTGCTCCTTGGAAGTCAGCGACAGACATCATGTGGTGCCCATCACTCTCAGAGTGAATGTCCGGCCAGTGGACGATGAAGTGCCCGTACTGAGTTATCCTACTGGCACTCTGGAGTCCTATCTAGATGTCTTAGAAAATGGGGCTACTGAAGTCACTGCCAGTGTTATTAAGGGGACCAGTGAGGAAACTGATGACTTGATGTTGACTTTCCTCTTGGAAGATCCACCTTTGTATGGGGAAATCTTGGTCAATGGCATTCCAGCAGAGCAGTTTACTCAAAGGGACATCTTAGAGGGCTCTGTTGTATATACCCACACCAGTGGAGAGATAGGCCTATTGCCTAAAGCGGATTCTTTTAACCTGAGTCTGTCAGATATGTCTCAAGAATGGAGAATTGGTGGCAATACTATCCAAGGAGTTACTATGTGGGTGACCATCCTGCCTGTTGATAGCCAGGCCCCGGAAATCTCTGTAGGTGAACAGTTGATAGTAATGGAAGGTGATAAAAGTGTTATAACGTCAATGCATATAAGTGCTGAAGATATAGATTCCCTGAATGATGACATCTTGTGTACTATAGTTATTCAACCTACTTCAGGTTATGTTGAAAACATTTCTCCAGCACCAGGCTCTGAGAAGTCAAGAGCAGGGATTGCCATAAGTGCTTTCAATTTGAAAGATCTCAGGCAGGGCCACATAAACTATGTCCAGAGTGTCCATAAGGGGGTGGAACCTGTGGAGGACCGATTTATCTTTCGTTGTTCTGATGGCATTAACTTTTCAGAGAGACAGTTCTTCCCCATTGTAATCATTCCCACCAATGACGAACAGCCAGAGATGTTTATGAGAGAATTTATGGTGATGGAAGGCATGAGTTTGGTAATTGATACACCCATTCTCAATGCTGCTGATGCTGATGTTCCCCTGGATGATTTAACTTTCACTATTACCCAATTCCCCACTCATGGTCACATCATGAATCAGCTAATTAATGGCACGGTTTTGGTCGAAAGCTTCACCTTGGACCAGATCATAGAGAGTTCCAGCATTATTTATGAGCATGATGACTCTGAGACCCAGGAAGACAGTTTTATGATTAAACTAACAGATGGGAAGCACTCTGTGGAAAAGATGGTCCTCATTATAGTTATCCCTGTTGATGATGAGACGCCCAGAATGACTATCAATAATGGACTAGAAATAGAAATTGGGGATACCAAGATTATCAACAACAAAATATTAATGGCAACAGATTTAGATTCAGAAGACAAATCTTTGATTTATATTATTCGTTATGGGCCACGACATGGCTTATTACAGAGACGAAAACCTACTGGTGCCTTTGAAAATATCACACTGGGCATGAATTTTACCCAGGATGAAGTAGACAGAAACTTAATTCAGTATGTCCATTTGGGGCGAGAGGGCATTCGGGACCTAATTAAATTTGACGTGACTGATGGAATAAATCCCCTCATAGATCGTTACTTTTATGTGTCCATCGGGAGCATTGACATTGTCTTCCCTGATGTGATAAGTAAGGGAGTGTCCTTGAAAGAAGGTGGCAAGGTCACTCTCACAACAGACCTACTAAGCACTAGTGACTTGAACAGTCCTGATGAAAACTTGGTTTTTACCATCACCAGGGCCCCCATGCGAGGTCACCTGGAGTGCACAGATCAGCCTGGAGTGTCCATCACATCTTTCACTCAGCTGCAACTGGCTGGAAACAAAATCTACTACATCCACACAGCTGATGATGAAGTGAAAATGGACAGTTTCGAGTTTCAAGTCACCGATGGACGTAACCCTGTCTTTCGGACATTCCGTATCTCCATTAGCGATGTGGATAATAAAAAGCCAGTGGTCACCATCCACAACCTGGTCGTCAGTGAAAGTGAAAACAAGCTGATTACTCCTTTTGAGCTCACTGTCGAAGACAGAGATACTCCTGACAAACTCCTGAAATTCACTGTCACCCAGGTGCCTATTCATGGCCATCTCCTATTCAACAATACCAGACCTGTCATGGTTTTTACCAAGCAAGACTTGAATGAAAACTTAATCAGCTACAAACATGATGGCACCGAGTCAAGTGAAGATAGCTTCTCCTTCACAGTGACTGATGGCACACATACAGACTTCTTTGTTTTTCCCGATACAGTATTTGAAACAAGGAGACCCCAAGTGATGAAGATCCAGGTCTTGGCTGTTGACAACAGTGTCCCCCAAATCACAGTGAATAAGGGGGCCTCTACACTTCGCACTCTAGCCACTGGCCACTTGGGGTTCATGATCACAAGCAAAATATTGAAAGTGGAGGACAGAGACAGCCTACACATTTCTCTTAGGTTTATTGTGACAGAGGCCCCTCAACATGGATATCTCCTCAACCTGGACAAAGGCAACCACAGCATTGCACAGTTCACACAAGGTATGTTTCATGTTTCTTTTCTTGGTTATCAAAGGACATTCCAGGTCTTGCTTCCTGAGAATATGGCTTCCCTGAAAGCCTCACAAACAGAGCATCAAATTAGAGTCCAAGAGAAGGGAAGGAAACAAAGGGGATGGGGAGAATACAGGGACTCACTTCCCTGGGAGGACGGCTCCCTTCTTGTCCTACCTCCCATCGCAGTGACCTTCATTAGAGGGAGTACTGATGTATTTTGAAAGTGACAAGAATATGCTGCTGAAGCAGGGGGCGAACTTTGGTGAATTAAAATTGAAGCAGGCTTTCCAATTCTGTTCCATTTGCCATACCTATCCTCTGAGCATCCTCTGTGTTGTATCCTGCAGGTGGTTCATGAAGCATTTTGGTACCTTAATGAAGGATGTGCATTCTAAATACTGTTTATTCACAGTGCTGTCATTATCAGTTACCATTCCAAAAAAGCCTTCAAACTTAGGTTACTTTGATTAAATTTTAAGGGCATTGCTCTGACACAGTTTTGGTTGTTAGGAACTTTGTAACTAAAAGATTTGTTTACATTTATTTACTTTTTCAATTTTTAAAATTTTTAATAATATTTCATGACTCAGGCAAATATTCATCCAGAGACATAAGTGATAAACACCTATCTAGAATTATAACAATGATACATATGTACAGGACATGCTACTGGGATATACATGAAAAAGGAAAGAATACTTAAAGTTGTATAGAATAACAATATATTCATCACCAAAACATACATCTAATTCATTATTGGGAACATGAAGATATGTAGACAAGATTAATAGTAGAAGGGGGAAATTATTTCATCATTGTGAACCTCCTCTCCAACCCGTTACAAACACAGTAACAAAAAACAGTTGCCTCCGGCACCTGCGGTCTTTAGGCAACAGGGTTTTTCTAACCTGAATTTCCTTTGTGGGTGGACACAATCTGGGGCAGAAAGGACAAGTGTCCTATGCATTTAATGAGGGAAGGGAGAAGCCCATTCACTACACTGGCTTGGGAGTCAGGACTCTGTTCTGTAGAACGTGCAACTTTCATTACAGCGGATTTGGGTTGCTTTCATGAAAATCTCACAATGTCAGAATGGATACTAGATCTTTCCTATGTGGGATCCATGGGTAGAGATGGAGCTTAACCCCAGGGCATCCCAGTGGGGGTGTTCTTTTCCTGCAACTGTCTTGTGCTCTTAGATAACAAATGCTTTAATAAACATGGATGTAGCAAAATGCAGTGTTAAAGTGAACTGCTTCTCTCTTTTAGGTGCTGGCAAATAGCTCCACACTCCAACCTCCTGATTCTTGGCTAAAAGCCTGAATGTATCCCAGGGCCTGCAGGGACAGGAAAACCTCAAAGTGCCAAGTGTCATGCCAGACCAGTAGGAAACTTTTATGTGAAGGCTTTCTGAGGCTAGCGATGCCATGCCATCTTACACTGGTTTATTTTCATGGAAAGGGAAGAGAATGAAAGGAATATATTAGATAATAGAAAATGGTTCTTCAAATTACTCCTCTGACCTGAAAAAGAAATCTGATTTAGAGATTTTTTAAAAGAACTATTTTGATGGAGACAGGCAAATGAATTAATTTAAATTCTGTGGACTCAGCCTAACAGCTCACAATATGAGAATATTATTTCTGAAATTTTGAACTCTAAAAATTATGCTATTTCATTATAGGCAGTTGTTCTGTCTCTTACTGACTTTGAGTCACCATGATTAATTTTTATCATCTTTGTAAATGTAGAGAAGTTATGCTTATTATGTGATGTGACTTTTTAAGAATTTTTAAGGAAAGTTAGCACATTCCAATACAAACCAAAATATTGACTAGGGAAGCTGTTGGTATTTAATCACACAGCACTCATTCGAACAAGTCAAGGCTAGAGTTTGATTCATAGCTGTTATTTATGGAGATTAGATAAGTGATTTAAAAAATGGAGAAAGCGCCATCAGAAAGCTACCATGGCTCTTCTTCCAGTATGACAAATGAAAGCAGTGCTTAGAGTGAAGACTATGCAGTCCTTTTATTTGCTTTTGTTTTTACTTTGTCATGAAGGGATAAGGTAAACCTATATTTTGATGGATTTTCAATGCATCGAATTAGGTCAATTTAGCACAGGTGGCCAGAGAAGGTTATCCCTAAATTGGTTGACTAAATGGTTCCCAGAATAAAAAAATTAATTCCTTTCTAAAAGTTATCAAATTGATGAAAAGTTAACAATGTATAATTAGGTAAAGTATGGATATCATGTATTTATTTCAAACTTCACCTCTTTCCCAAGTTGCCCCTGTTTCCCCCAATCCAGATCTAAATTGCATGTCTCAAGTACCTGGATTTTTCTTCCCTACAATGAGTATATAGTGATATATTCTGTGGGATAATTTATAAATCAGTTTCAGGAAAGCGGAAATGTCTTCAAAGAGTTTGAACCAGATGTGGTTGCCTGACATGTTAATGAACTTAGAATTAAAAACAAACAAACGAAAAACTCACGGAATAGTTTTGTAGATAAACTGAAATAAATTTAATGTATATTTAGCAACTAGAAGAAAACCTAGATAATTCGTAGATATTTGCTTTAAAAAGATTACATTTTGGCTATCAGATTATCTGTCTACTACTTTTGTGTCTTAAGAAAGCTAGGCATTATATACATTTATGGTATGTTTATGTTATTTGTAGAGGTGCTTTTAGAATACCAATATGCTAATGAAAGTCTTTACTTACTTTTTTTAGAGGCTCCTTTTTGAACCATGAATTATTAATTAGTTATATGAAAAATATAAAAGGTTTTAGTATGTTCCAACTAATCAATAACACATGCCCTGCTTGGAGGGAAATTTGGGTACCAGAGTGCCATATAGTTGCATTTATGTTCTCTTTATCTGAAAAAATTTTTAAAAAGTTCTTAAAATTCTGTTTCAAAGTGAGGATTTATTTCTTTGAAACTATTCCTTAGCGATTAAAATTTTGCTTAAGAAAACATTGATACAGATGCTGGGCATGCTAAACAGAGCCTTTTCTCCTGGTAGAGCCTTTAGATTTTCTTATGCAATTTGAAGGGGTGGGAACATTGGAAGAGGGTCTTCCCCACATGGCCAGAGGTCGTGGTTCTTGTGGCAAAAATGTGTTGTCGGCAGAGTTTACTGCTTTTTTTTTTTTTTTTACTGATAAAGTGAAGGTTATAAAATTAAGAATTATAGGAGTAAATAGGCAAAGAGTTGTGCAGAGGCTTCAGTCCTTACCCTGGCAGAAACATCATACATACAAAGGTAGAGATACAAGTGTGATCTACCACTCAGCCCTTTCATTTTAAATTGAGAAACATTTGCGCCTTTGCTACTGTAATATCCTAAGCAAAGTTAAGATGTGGGAAGTTAAGATAGGGAAAAAAAATCCCAGAGGTTTTTAGTCTACTGGAAAAGATAACCATACAGAAAGATAAAAGTGAAGCTAGGCAGAAAGTGTGGAAAGTTACAGTAGAGTTAGAAAGGTGGGACCCGGCTCGGTGGCTCACACCTATAGTCCTAGCACTTTGGGAGGCCGATGTGAGAGGATTGCTTGAGGCCAGCCTGGACAACATAGTGAGCCCCCATCTCTATATTAACTATTTTGTTTTAAAAGAGAAATGAAGTGCTAAGGGAAATCAAACGTCTTAGGCATGTTTTACCTCCAAATACCTCTATTAGCAGGAAGGTACCATTAACTATAAAATCAGATTTTCCCTTCTGCAAGTATTCCTAATAATGACTCACCTTTCAAAACTTTATGAGCCAGGGTAGAGCACACATTTTACATCTGTAAAGTGGAGCTATAGAAATTTGTGGCGTTAATCTCAAGTAATGCCTTGCCTTACTTGAGATTAACATTTCGTAAAGCCATTGTCTTCTATATAAGCCTTTGAATTCCATAGCATGAACTTACTAGAGCTTTTAGGAGATGGAAAACCATAGAACGCACACTAGACAGATAAATATTACCTATCATTGTCATAGCTGTTTTTAGCCATGATCTTGACTTTATGTAGTCTTACAAAAGTCCAGATCAATTAATGACCTATTACAAGTATCACAGGACAAAATGATATTTTTTTATTATGTTGTATGTGTGGCATCATTAAGGAAAGGAACTGGTGAGATGGATGAATAAGTTTAAAAATTGTGTCTTCGTAATGAAAACAAACGTATGCACGTGAATTTGATAGAGTAGAAAGTAACATAAGGAACATTTCTGAGGCAATATAACTTTCTGCTATGAATAAAGGTTTCCACTTTTTTTTTTTTTTTTTTTGAGACAGGGTCTCACTCTCTTGCCCAGACTACAGTGCAGTGGTGCAATCTCAGCTCACTGCAACCTCCGCCTCCCAGGCTCAAGCGATTCTCCTGCCTCAGCCTCATGGGTAGCTGGGATTACAGACATGCACCACTACTGCCCGGCTAATTTTTAATAGAGACAGGGTTTCACCATGTTGGCCAGGCTGGTCTCAAACCCTGACCTCATATGATCCACCCGCCTCAGCATCCCAAAGTGCTGGGATTACAGGCATGAGCCACCGTGTCCGGCCTGTTTCCACTTTTATTAGATGTTTTTTGTTCTCAACGGGGAGTCATCAGTTATTTCAATGTGTGTGATGTTTTGAAAATATCATCCTATTTTTTTCTCTCAAACTTTGGAGAGCTAAAAAATAGCCTGCTACAGCACAAAAAGTGAGAAAAGTTAGCCAGAGTCAGGGAGCAAAGCTCTGTCCTCTGCGGGCCAGTTCCCTACAGGGAGGCAAAGGATGTGATTTCAAGAGTGCCAGGAAATCTGCCATGCCTCAAAATATCTTGCTTTCCACCTGTCATGGTGCCTGACATTCCATATTTAGATAGTCATTCCTTTGGTGCATGAACATGCAAATACCACTGGGAGGGGCAACACCTTGCTATTATTGTAAACTAACTCTTGCACTCTATTTATCTGTGTAAGGGATCAGGTTTCCATGGGACAGCTGAAATCTAGGGGCTTAGAGATCTGAGAAATGAAGCAGCACTGTTTCTCTTAGGAGGAAAAAGGAATTTAAACATGTTTATAGGAAAACTAATAGTCAATACAATTTACCATAATGAATCATCAATTTTACTCTGGTAATTAATCATCTTGTTTTTTGGTTATTTTCTAGCTGACATTGATGACATGAAAATATGCTATGTCTTAAGAGAAGGGGCTAATGCCACAAGTGATATGTTCTATTTTGCAGTTGAAGATGGTGGTAAGTATTCCCCTCTCCTGGGAGTGACAGCAAGGAGAGAGACTTTTCTTGGTTGCTCTTTGATGACATTATTACAAGAAATCTTTATCAAGGAGCATTTCATGATCACCTAAATTTAACCTGATATTTGCTGTAGACAATTTTACAATCTCACTATGACACAACCCTACTATGTGACGGCTATAGATAGAAGTTCTAGTTATATTACTTTTGTCTTACTATTTGTAAAGCACTGAAGAAAGAAATCTGTATAAATAGGATCTCCATGTCTAGTTGTTTAGGTTACACCCTGCATGAGTTTGCCTACTTGAGTCAGTAAGAGGATGTTGGAATTCAGCTGTGGTTCCACTCATAGCCACGTGCTCACCCAGGTATAGCTGTCCAAAGGAGCTGTTTTTTCCTAATTTGCTCATGGGTTCTGTGTGGGCTAATACTGATGGATAACGTGTTGCATTCACCAAGAAATCAGTAGTAAATTAATATCTGTTTTATCTCACCAATCTCAGGACTTATAATGATTTTCTTAGTTTGAGGGATTTTGCGACCTAGTCCAGCCAAAAATTTTTCTTGGTTAAGTGCAAAAAATACTTCAGAGTATAGGATATGACTTTTGAGCTAAGTCTCTTGGGCGATATTATTCTCATTACTCCCCCGGAACTGCCTGCCACTTATACTTCATTCAGCTTTGGATCTCTTGTCTTCCTAACCCTGTGGATGAGTAGAAAAACTGGTCACTTTCAGATTGCTCATAAAGATGTTTTTGTTCTTGCATGTTTTCTTGGAAAGCAAAATAACCTCCCCAAGTACACGTGTTGTGTGAACAGGACACCAGAACTGAGGGTATATGTGAGAGAGAAGAAAGAGGGAGGAGAAAAATAATTCATACTCTGTTATCTGTTTCCTTATGATGCTTTTTAAAAATGGCACACTATTATGCCATCTATCTCAAAAAGACTGCATCCTTACCCTCCATGTTTTTTGAAGCATTACATATGATTTGTTTCAAATATCACTGGACACAACATGATCACAGTTCTGAAAAATGTCAACTGTTGAGTGTGTGCCAGAGAGGCAAAAAAAAAAAAAAAATGTATTAAGTTGGGTTCAAATGTTTGATTCCTACTATAAATCAGAAAGTCAAATCATGTGAGTGCCTTTATTTTTTTGAGTAACCAAATCACAGTTTAGTATTCTATGCGTTGATGAAAGGGATCCTAGCATAAAACAAAGTTCTGAAAAAAAAAACTTCTTCTTGAACCTTGCTGCTCAAATGGGAAATTCTATTGTAACTAACTGTTGAGACCTTGAAATAATCCAAATCTGTGTAACTTATATCAAAATTTAAGGATGAAATTATTGGTTTAAAACACCAATTTTAAATTATTGGTTTAAAACACCAAGTTTATCTCTTAGGATCACTGAATAAACCTCAGTAGCGAAAGTGTGACTTTCTGTAAAATTACCAAAAAAAGTTTCAAATTCAATGGCTGTGATTACACTAAAATATCCTGTACTTTTTAGTAAAATATTTTGCTTTTTTTTGCTCATACACAAACACACACACACATTATTTTACCTTAGCTGGGTGGAATGGTAGCCTTTACTTTAAAATTTTGGTCTCTATTCCAATTTTGGAAAACATTCTATAGTATCATATTTCAAAATATTAAGTGCAAAATATTAAGTGAAGAATGCCTAGCTGAAGAGGCTGGGTTTATGTCTGAATTTGCTGAAAATGTGGCAAGGCCTCTAAAGACTGTCTTTATGGAAGTAGGAACGTATCATTTTAGGAGTCTTTTTAGAGAGATAGTTTCACGTGAGAGATAAAAATTTCAGATTTTCTTTTTTACACTCTTCCTCTTTACTGGCATAACATTACCTATGGAGCTCAGGCAGATTTTGGCAAGCTATTGAATAGAATTTACTTTAATTCCCCTGATATAAGAAAACTGTCCTTTGACAGAATGAACACAGAGACCTGCAAGATTAAAAAGTCACATTCATATCTCTAAATTGTTTTAATCTGATTCTTAAATGTTTTTTAGGATTTTTGCATTGCCTTATAAATGTTCTAATGCTTGAATAGAAGTGCAATACTGTTTAAACCTAATTAGCTGTAGTGACTTATTGTCATCCACTCTATACAGTGATAGTAGGCATATCTATAAGTCATCCCGATAAAATATGAAATGTGTGAGTATTTCACCCCTGGGAAGCAAGTCAGGGCACAATGGCATAAAATTGAGAACTCTGTATGTCCAGCTTGCTTTCCAATCTGATAAATGCATCTTCTTCAAATCAATGTGATTGGTTTTATAACAGTAACTATCTAAGGAAATTAGTGGGGCAACCATAATCCTTGAATAACCTTAAAAATAAAACATAATTCAATGTAAGGGATTTAGAGTAGGAGAAGAGATTGAGAAGAACAGAAGGCTGAGACCTCCTGTTTCAGATTTAATTGTGTTACCATGGGAATCTGGCTTGCCACAGGATTCTTCCATTACGATGTAGTAATGGATTAGTTACTACCCATTACTAAAAGGACTATGCTTGGGAAAGAGTTACTACCTTTGAAGTTTTGGAGTGCTTTGGGACTTTTACCAAATGAAAGAAGAGAGCACTATCTGAGCAATAGATAACATCAGGGTCTTTACCTCAGGGGAAGTCTACTGTATTTGGAGTTAATACATGTTGGTTGATATAGCACATGTCCACACACATACACAGATCCTTGTATCTTAGGGTTCTTTCAATTAGATTTTAAACCTTCTATGTTATTTATTGTTACTTTTGCGATTTTGCCTTCGTAACATCTCTGTGAGCAACAAAAACACAGCAAAAAAACACTTAGTATGATTTCTATTTGGCAGATGAGGAAACTGAGTCAGCAAAATAAGTAACTGTCCTCCTTCAAGCTACACAGCTGGGCAACTAGAGGCTGCTTTCAATCTCAAATTCTTTCCTCAAACAATAATAAGCGGATAACTTCCACACTTATTCAGGATAGGGATAAGAGGGGGGGACTCTTGAACTTTGTCTGGAAACTTGACCAACTTTCTAGGAATGTTCAATAGATGTGAGTGAAGTCTGAGTGGGATCTGCTTTTGGGATAGACAAAGAGCTTTGTGTTTTCTAAAGTGTGCATTTTTATTTTAAAATGCTTTAAAAGTTGTAGAGCCCTAAACTTTGTAGTACTCTTTCTTGGTATCATAGTATAATCCCCTTTTTAAAAACCTTTGTTTTAGGTTCAGAGGTACATGTGGAGGTTTGTTATATACATAAAGTCATGTCAAGCGGGGGTTGTTGTGCAGGTTATTTTGTGACCCAGGTACTAAGTCTAGTACCCAATAGTTATTTTCATAGTGTAATTCTTAAAATGATTATTTTATAATGCAGTATGTTTATTGGAATACTAGTAAAGAGCATGAAAATGTGATATCAGAATAAGGCACTCACCCAGATGTTCTGGGCCAGTCACCATAAGTGAATGCATCGTTACAAAGTATAAGGTCAAACTCTGAAGTTCAGGAATATATTCCCGCTATCTGTGGCTTCATCTAATGCGCTGGTGTATATATGTGTAGCACCTGCCTATGGATTTAGCTAACTGTCTTCCATTTCTTTCGGCTTTCATGCTTTATATCCTCATGAAGGTAACTTATAATAATACAGACCTGGGAAATCCATTTTCCTTTGTTGATTACCTCTTTGAATTCTAATTCCAGATCTAGTACTGTGGAATTTTGTTGGGGGGAAATAAAACATTTATTCCTTTATCCTTTTTGTAGTCAAACATTTTTATCTGATTCTTTCTCAGTGTTCAACTCTCTGTAATTTTTCTATAAAGTATTCTAGCATGAAAGTGCTTTGTCAGGCCCTTCTAGCGCCTTATTGTGATGTGAAAGCTAGTCTCCCATAACTATTCCAGGCATGCCCCACCCTCAACCCTAATGATTGTTAATCACTCTTCAACACCAGGCTCAAATATCATTTCCTCTCCAAAGTTGCTCCCAACATCACAGTGACAAAATTAGCCTCACTCTTTTTTATGCTTTTATCCCCAACTTTATTTACAGTAAAAATTCGTATTATGATAATTTGCTAATGTGAAAACCTCCACTAGTAAGGAAGAAATTCCTTCATATCAAAAAAGTATCATTAATCTTTGTACCTCAGTGCCAAGGTTGAGTACAAGGTGTAAATACTTACCAAATATTAAAATAAATGAATGGATAAACAGGAGAAAAACAATTGCTCTCTTTTGATATAAAGATCAATTAAATAGTATTATAAGAAAAACTCCTATAAACAATTCCCGGTAGACCCTTTGCATTCCTTTAGAACGTTGTCCTATCCTAGCATTAATTTAAATCCCTACGGCACCAGGAAAGTTTTTTAGTGAAGCTTTCACATTTTTAAATGCATGAAATTAACTAAATCAACTGCTGTGAAAATTCCTTTGAAATCTTCAGTGAAATGTACTTAAGATTGAAGTATTAACCACCAGTTCAGAGCTCGTATTATTCTTAAAGAAGCCTTTTCAGGAAAAAAAAAAAAAAAAACTTGTCAGTTTATGATTAAATAATTATACAATTTAAAATCTAAAAGGAAATAGGATTTCCTATAAGTCACTAAAATTTTCAAGCCAGCAGCACCACTACTGTATTTTCAGTTACCCCAGTATTTTCTTGTGTGGTATGAGATAACATTAGGACAGATGGAGAAGCAGAAGACAATATTAGCAAAAAGTACCTCTAGTTTTCATTAAAAAGTCCTCATGTAAACTTTTTATTTCTTTGTTTTAAGTCTCAAAGCCTCAGCATCAGATCCAGCTTCTTTCTTGATGGGCTTAAGAAAAAATTAGAATACATGATCATCTGGCTGGACATATTGGGTAGGAGGAGTCTTACATTTGTATTCACTATGAAAACCAGCTTGCTGCTTCCTTATTTGAAACCTCTCATATGACATAGGCACGCAGTCTCAGTGAGTTCTGC